TGTGAAGGTTACAGATGTACGAGACAAATCGTTCCAAGAATATCAATTAAACAATAATTTATTATAACAGGGATTTACAGGTCTTTTAGAGATGCCCGTCAGAGACAAAACACGAATATACAATAGGTCTCCACTCTCGTCCAAAATCTTACAATTTTTAAGAATCACAATATATGGTCTACTCACTAACTTATAATTAACTTATATCTAACTTAATCTAATATTAAACTAATAAGAGGAAAGGGAAGGAAAGACAGAAAAGGTCTACCGGTAGTTAGCTCAGGAGGTCCTGATGGTGGTTTCCGAATATTGCGGGGGTTTTCTCGGCCGACTTTGGTATATTCAACATTCCTGGTATAAATCTTGGCACTTATTTTTCTTAGACTATTATCTTTCACCAATTAAGTCGCTAGTCCTCTTCTCTTCTCTCTGGACTGCGCTAAACCTCGCACATGGGGCTGGTTCTTTGTCTTGGGTCTGACTTAGTGTCTCGACGAGATTTTCTTAACCCTCTCTCCTCGTCGTCCAGGCAAAAAGTGTCCTTCTCACCCCACGGGCAGGGCCGCACCCTGTTCACCTCGGTAAGCCACCAATCAGGACCCACGAAGTTCCCGCTCCTGATCGGGTGACCGGAAATGGTCATTAGCAGAAGAAGAAAGAAGGAAAAGAACAAAGAATCTTAAATCTAAATATTCTAACTAGGTATATACAAAATGGCGGACAGCCACACTGTGACGTCATAACATTTACGACCAGGCCTCGAATAACGATGGCCTCGGTCTTACTCTCCTGTACTCATCGGACACATGTCCCCCTGTTCGTCAAGACGATCCACGTCATTAATATATCAATCAACATTCCACCAATCAAGTTACGAGTATTTAGCATATGTGAACTGTATCTCGGCTAGGAACCAGTTATGATAACTTAATAATAGAAGAAAGTGAAGGGTTAGCACGTCATTAACTCACGTCATAGTTTGTAGCTACGAAACCCACGTGAAAAATATTGTTCCTAGAACCCATCTCGTTTCCATCACTTGTGTGGCAAACACCGTTGTTACATCGTTGTTACACCGTTGTTACAATTACCGTTTTTTCTTAGGTCTTCATCCGTTTTGTTCATCCACCTCTTCTTCGATCTTCTCTTAGGTGTTTTTCCCTTCATTAGGTGCATTGATGCTATTAAATTTTGATGGTTAAAGGTTCGATAGTTAATGGGGATCGTATGATAACAGTTGGCATCATCAAATTTTAAATAATTTTTGGATATATATATAGAGAGAGTTTTACAAAATAACTTAAATATTATATACCTTTTAATGATTTCACAAATATTTTTTAAATAGGTGATATTTCCCTATCTTTTTGAATTTCTTCTTTTTTCTTCTATGTGCGCCGGAAGTTTAGAAATTTTGCCGCACTGTCACTCTCTTCTACACGGGCGACAAATATTATGAGGGAGAATCCTGTGTCAGGGTGACCTCATTTTTAACTGCAGAACTGCTGCAATTAAAACTGTCAAAACAAAATATCTACACTTCCGACATGTGACGGAAGTCGAAGTGATTAGCACAGAGCAGTTGGAGCTACCCCCATGTAGTGGCGAATAAATCTAGAAAAGCGAAAACATACAAGTAGGCGGCAGGAGGAAGTGGAGGTTGGGTACTGAACGGTGACCGTAGGCAAAGGTTGGGGTCACTGACAATCTTTCCCTTTCCTGTATTAAAATGGGTGTAAAGAAATATTCCTTGTAATGGTTTCCAGATTTGGAGAACAATGCACAAAATATGAGTTTCTTTAAAAAGTTTTTCTAACATTATTTTCAAGCCTTTTTCATAGAAGAAAGAATGAGTTCGCGGGTGATCCGGAACGGTTGGAGGCTTGGGTATAATTTGACACTGATTGGTGCGAATCTCATGCAAGAACAATAGAATCTCGAGGAACTGGTGTTATAACACTTTAACAGAAAAAAGTTTCTTCTCCAATTTCGTATGTTTTACAAAATGAATGTCGAACAAATTTATAAAATTTTGTTAAAAGTAAATTATAAAATCTAGATTCTCGGGTAATATTAATTTTGCATCGAATTTTCTGCATTAATTACACTATTTTTAATTAATTGCAACTATCGTTTCATTCCACATAACTATTGTGAGATTAGCAGTGGGCCACTGGGCCCATCCCAAATGACCACTTACTCTGCAACAGGTTGGTAAAATCCGTTCTCGGCTTGTCGGCTNACTTACCTCTACTAGAAAAAAACTCTTTGCGGTTTCTCATACAGAGAAATATATTTGTAAAAAGTATATAAAGAAAAGAAAGTATCAGTGTACAATGTGTCTGAGATATTTTACAAACAATATTGTTTTGAAGCGTCATCTTTTCATGCACATTAGGAGTATACCATTTTTCTGTCGTGTCTGCAAAAAACCATTTTTCTCAGAAGATACATGGAAGAAGCACGAAACGAAACATGGAATTCGGCATAAAGAAGTAACGAAACCTCTTAATTCATGTACGACACAGTCAGAAAATGACCAGGAAAGTTGCTCAAAGAAGTGCAAGAAGAGGAAAAAACTCCTCAGGATTCACACGTGTAATCTTTGTGGTAAGAGTTATAGAACAATGTCGCTTNTAGGTTAAATGCGATTAAATAAGTTTACTATACAAAAGGGACGCTCTAATAGCTTTCCCGGCTAGTCTGAGAGAGAGTTCACAAAGCTCTAAAAAGTACAAATACCTCTACGCGGATATGTGTAAAATACGTTCGTTGAATATGTTGGTTAATGGCGATGGAAGTTCAAACGGCTGTGGTTGGTCGTATGTCCTGTCGGTCCGGAGTATGGAGACAAATATGGCACATTTACCAAGTATAACTTCCGAGGGATCGCCCGGAGCTTTCGGAGACTCGAGCTTTTATACATTATTCGTGGGAAATGAGTCACGTGATCGACTTCTGTTGACACTTACGGTGCATTCCGATCAACTAACTGTCAACTTTCCCACCATAATGTGAAAACAATCGGTGACCTCCGATATACTTCTCACCAAGAGTGGGTTTTTCCATCGNATAAGTTTACTCGTCTTTCTTTGTTACTTGCACTAAATTTCGAATGAACATTAATTAATTAATTAATTCTTTGATTGAATACAGATTATTGATACACGAGAATATCGTAAATCGAGAAAATGAAGATAAAAGAAGAATTAGAAACGAAACATTCGGACTTTACAATTAAACGAAACGAAGAAAATTTTGAAGTCGATTTAAAGAATTTCAAGAAAGAATTCAATACGGATGTGAAGAGTTATAAAACAATTAAATCGGAACGGAAGGTGAGTAAAATACTTTTCTGTAAGATTGCATTATCGCTTTAATGACGAGAAACACAAATGAAATGCTAAAATATTAAGTGGGAAATGGGAAGACATATTTTCTAAACTGTATACAGTGAAAACTGCTTAGGCGATCACCTGCATTCGACGGGCACCTGTCAAAACGGGCAAAAATTTCTGGCACGGAATAGTTTATCCATAGAGTCTTCGTATAAGTTACCTGTATTAAACGACCACCTGTGTAACGCGACCTCGGGCATCGATTTTTGGTCCGAAACAACATACAACAACTGTAATAAGCGACCACTTCCGCCAATATATCTGGTCTAAACTATTGTTCAAACCCATCTCGACAACGTTTCCCCCTCCTAATGTAATGAATTAGTCTTAACTCTTGTTCGAACCCACCTCGAGCACTTCTCCCACCCTTGAAATTAGAAGCAGGTATTAACGAATTAGTCTAGCAACAAAGGAAATTCATTTCAGTTTGTTCGAAATTGTCCGAAAAACGAAAGAAATGCAAAGTGCTGTCGTTAGAAGATCGTATTAAAGTTATCAGAGAAAGTGAAAATGGCAATTAGCCGCGAAGTTTAACTGTAGGAAAACGAAATTTATTTTACCGTAGACCTACTTAGGGGTATAAAATATCGTACACGATACAATTAATCGGCTGGTTTCATCGTTTGATAAAATTATTTTATTTTTTTTCAAACTCATATACAGTACATGTGCGATAAATAGTTTCTGTATCAACCTACTTTATTTTAGCGATATTTTTAGAAAAATAATATCCAAGTAATTTTCGCACGCAAAATATTTAAAAAAACAATAAACGCATTAACGCAAATATCAGTTTTACAGGCAACCTTCCTTTTTCGAAATGTAATAAAATCGTATTATGATAAAAGATAATAAAATCGTTTTATTATTAATTAATAATTTTTCTTATTATACTTAAGAAAATATTAAATATTAAAAATATAGTGTATTTAAAATTAAATAAGATTAAACTAACGAAAACCAAAACTAAAGTGATGGAGAGATACGACGCGGTTGTATATCGATGACGTAAAACACGTAAATGAGGAGCGAACAAAAAGAACCAAGTTGAATTAATTAAGTCGGAAAAAAGAAAATGTGCATTATAATGGAGAAAATGCGAGTATTATAAAAATATAGTGTATTTAAAATTAAATAAGATTAAACTAACGAAAACCAAAACTAAAGTGATGGAGAGATACCACGCGGTTGTATATCGATGACGTAAAACACGTAAATGAGGAGCGAACAGACGCCTGTAAATCGAGTTATCCGATAAGAATAAAATACAATACCAATAGGCCTATAGCTCTATCGTTGAAAAAATTCGTTTATTTTTGCTCACCTCGAGTTTTGCTTAGTAGAAATGGCTGAAAAGTGAGCAAAATACGTACGGAAATACGGTATTATAGCACCACTGTATTGGACGACCACCTGTCTAAAAGACCACTTTTTGAAGGAACTGTGGGTGGTGGCCATAGAGAGGTTTTACTGTATTTGTAAAAATAATTGCCCCGCGAGCTTCAAACTTTCGATGTCAAGACAAAGCATTTTCGATGTCAAGACAAAGTCATTTTGGCTGTTTTTTTTTTTTTAAATGAAATTTGACGTTTTGGCCAAGGTGTTCGTTTTAGAGAGATAACCCATTGTTTACTGACAGGGTTTTGTGGTTTCACTGTCTTTAAAATGTTTTATATTTTTGTGTATGGGGGGGGGCGTTTTTGCAGTGCTGGCTGTTGGCGTGTTTTTTACGACTTACTGCTACGATCCACAATTCAACTGTTTACCATTAATTGACGTTATTGAGAATGTCTTTTTTATCGTATAGTTTCTTTTTTAATTTTCTTTTAATTTTTCATTTTTCTACTTTTTACTTATTATTGGAGGAGTTGAACTTAATTTAGGTCCAATGTCTCGTATAGCACCTTTTCTAAACGTCGTCGAACTCCAAGCGAATCAACTTGGAAATCATCTCGATAGGTCGATTATTTTGTATCGCTGGATATTTCTTTCAAATTTTTCAGAAGATTCTCTATTTTCTTAATGAACATTTTGATATTATTCTATCGACACTAGTAAATTATCAACGAAATTTGACTGGTTTTCTAATTTACACAGGGAATTTGTTGAACGTCAAACCCGTTTGGAAAGAGAAGTTACCGAATTTCCGACTTTTAAAACTGTATGTATAAATAATTTTTCTCTTCAGAATTATTACATGGACTCTATATACAATGATTCGTACAAAAATAACATTATAATTTCCGGTTTGAGTGGTAACGACGAAGAATTAGTTGATAATGCTAATGACTTTATTGAGTTGTTTAAAAAACAGAACGGGGAGTCTATTCCTTTTATTAACAGTTATCTAATATCTAGTACTCGGCTTGTATCGTTCGAGCTCCATACTCAAGCTGATAAAAGGTTTATTTTTGAAACTATAAAGAAAATTGAAACGTTACCGTCTTTCTCGTGCATTAGAGTTTTTGATGATTTGTCGTATAGATCAAGACTTAGACTTAGAAAATTCTTGTCTTTTTTATTAAAAGAAAAATAAAAAAGCAATTCTGAAAGCCGATTGCTTGACCGTACATGGTAACAGATTCACTTACAGTTTAGAAAAAAAGAACTACAGAAGATTCGATGTATATGTATATGTGTGTGTTAGTATGTATTTCGCTTAATATCTCAGGACGGAGTGAAAATAAAGTAACGAAGTTGGGCATGGTAGCTTAAATTTAAAAGACATTGGTGCTGTTAAATTTCGGTTATGGAAGTTCAAGAGGATGGAGACAGAAAGTAGTCACGTGTCATATCTCGCGAGGAGTCAGACTTAATTAAGATTTTTCTTGTTATTAGCAATTACAGTGTTTTACAAAACACATTTCTAACCTCAAACGTATTCTTTTGCTATTTTATAATAATTAAGAATATATAAAGTTTTAATAACAAAATCTCGTAATAGCTGACAAAACATACAATTTTATTTATTTATTATGATTAATAATTAAAAAATGGTTTTTAAAATAAAATATAACAGCAGAAGTTACGCAACTCCTTGCTAAATTTTTTATTATGTCAAGATCAGTAACTGTAATACAATGGTTTAGACAAGTTACGAGTTATTTAGAAAAGTTTTTTAGTTTGATTGTTTCCTTTCATACATAATATTTTGAAAGTATTCCTCTTTGTGTTTATATATTTATATTCTAGGTATGTGTAGTTTTAATTTAGTGTATTAAATTAGTAGAATCAATGATATTTAAGCTGTATGAGGTCAAAATATATTCGAGACTTTTAAGTCACGTAAGGCTTGAAATAATAGAGATCGCTTTCATTTTCGATCAAGTCTTTTAGAGATTGACAATAACCGAGCGATTGATCATCACAGAATAGACAAAAATAAAATTTTATTCTGTTCCGACTTTTAAATTAATTTTTATATATTTAAGTTTTTAAGAAGGATGAATTTAGAGGAGAGGATAAAGCGATTACATGAGCAGAAAGAAAGATACATAATGTATATACAGTTCTTTAAAGTATAGAGCTCTGTACTCGCCACTAACTCTACCGAAGAGACCTTCTAGATACGAAAGTGAAATGTATTTAGACGTATTATTAACTTAATTAATAGTATTTTCTGCATTTTTGGATTTGTTTTTACTTTTTACATTTTTATTTTACTGTGTTAAAGACATTTATCCTCAATAAGTCGGAACAGAATGAAACATTTGGAAGTCGGAACAGAAGGAAAGGTTTGACACGATTCTTATCTATTCGCTTATTATATGCATTACAATACCAGAAAGTAACAAGAGCTAACACTTCTAATCGCAAACAACAAAATACAATTAACAAGCATTATTGCGCTATCGTCACAATGCCGAGATGCAATTTTTTTTTTTATCATATTTTTAATTTATTTAATTTAAAATATATGCTCTTCACCTGAAATTAGTAGTGGCTTGTCCCTGTACATTATACTTTTCCAGTTAGTAGTAGAGTCGTGCCATTTATGTAACTAACTTCGTTTAGAGGAAACTTTTTCAATTGAAATAACATGAATACCGCTTTGCATCGGAAGTTCTTATACAGTTAATCGGGGAATTGTGCCTCTGAGCATATCATATGTTGTTTCGGCTTCCATCTAACTGTTGAGGAAAGACAGTTAAACAGGTTTTTAAACTGACATCAGTAGGAATTTACGAGGCTATTTATTTTCAAATTGTAGCCTAATTATGTATAAACTCTCTTTTACATGATCATATAGGATCAGATTCATATAATTGGGTTATATAAAAAATTTGAAACAATTGTAGACAAATAAACTCTCACTGTTGTCCGTATGACTGTTGTCTTTCTACAATCTCGAGAACAGAGTTAGATAGAAGCAGAGACCAGATATGGAAATTTTAGTGGCGAAATTCTCCGAAAAACTGTATACGTATCTTTGCTGTAAACCGGAATCGACGTTTTTTAAATTAAAAATTTTCTTTTAAAAGTTGTTAGATAGATGACCGGCACTACTGTTAAACCAAAAGTAGTTAGTTGGCCATATTTTAAATTTATTTATAATTGAAGTTTAGACTATTTACAAAAATTAAATTAAATTTTTTAATCTTTTATACACCACCACAGAAGTAACAGTTTTAAATTGCTTTGAAGAAAACACTTCTTAAACAAGGTAAAAAATCGATAGAAAACTCCACAATGTTAAAAAAGATCAAGTACCAGCCTTTTCTTGTAGGTTCTGAAACTTTTACATTAAAAACACAAAGAATTCTTCACACCATATTATTTTTATCCACTTCAATTATGAAAAAAATACATCCTAAGTTATCACAAAAATTGTAATTAAAGATAATTATTCATTCAACGTCTTTATATGTTTCAGTTTATATGTTTTTATTTATTTATTTATTTATTTATAAAGATCGATTTGTTTGATAATATAACGTAGTATTAAATTATTTTAGATAAATATTAAAGGAATGCCAATTTTCACTAACAACACAAAAGAATCCATTCGTTGGAGTCACTCTGGTCATAAAATCGAAAGAGGTAAGTGGCTTAATACTTGTAATATAAAAGTATGTTTCTACTGAGAAGAAAAATAGGTAACACACAAAATGGAATTGTTACATTTATATAACACATTCATATAAATGTAAATGCTAACATTTGAAAAATTTTGCGAATACGTTGTGTATAACGAATAGGTATTTCAATAGAATTTAATATCATCAATAACATTTAATTTATCAATAGTTGACAGATTTAAAGATGTCAATTTAATTTATCAGAATTCCAAAACATAGAAAATCGTAATTCGGATGTTTTAGAAATGAAACAAGCAATAATTAATTGTGAAATCGTCACAATGCCAAGCTGCAAATTGTTTAATCAAATTTTAAATTTATTTAAGTTAAAATACACGCTTTTAACCCGAATTTGTCATGGCTTGCCCTGTACATCAAAATTTTCCTTTAACAATAGAGTTTGGCAGTCTTCATTCTTTCAAAATAAAAGATTTGAATTCAAATAACATGACTTCTGATTTGCACCGAAACTTTGTACACAGTTAATCGAAGCCTTGTGCTTTTAACCTTTCCATGTTATCTGGTCTCGGATTTTTTCTAAGACTGTTCTCGAAATTGAGTAAAGATAGACACAAACGGATGATAGTGGGAATTTATAAGTATACAATTATTTCAAATTGCATCATAATTATATGATAGTATCGAATTTTCTTTTAATAAATAGCGGAAAAGTCTGTTGGCAGTTATTTTATTGTTTTTATCGACATATTTGTATGATGTTCTAAAAACAGTGTGTTCTCCATTAATTAATAGGTGCTTCGACTAAGTTGTCTTGTTACTTCTCACAGACCTTAACTTTTTAAAGTAATAATTTTATGTATCTATAAATAAAACTCATCTCTACTTTCAAAATATAGTCTTTTGCCATTTTGTAATAATTAATAATATAAAACGATTTTTACGTAAAATCTCATAACAGATTTTACACGATTGTAACATTTTTGACGAAAATGTTACGTAACTCATAACCGGATTTTCAAATCAAAGCCAAATTAATTATGAATATCATAACATTACACATTGTTTATTAGTTACGACAGCCGGTACCACAATGGAAATAAATTATACATCGTTATCAAACTCCATACATAAAATTATCGAGTTTTATTTTATATTTCAAGTATTTTTTCTTAGAATCCTTTAACATAAATATTTTGTAAATTTCATTACAGATATTAAGAAAGAAAAAGTAAAACAGAATTATGATGTAAAACATGGTATAAAATCAGAATGTAAAATTGTTTTGAAAAAGTTGAAGATTGAAGTAAAGACTGAAGATTGTAAAGAAGTTGTTCATCTCTCAGATGATGATGAACACGTAATGGTAAGTAATACAAATTTTGAAATATTTTACATATTAATAGTAAAATTTTAATATTAACTTCGCATTCCGAATGGTTTAAAACGTAGCTCAATATTACTAGTATAAAATTATGCTTTGAATTTAGAAGTATTCTTTATTAAATAAAAAACATGTATTGATATAATATAAGAAAAAATCTAACAACGAGTTGCGTAGCTTTCCCGGCTGTTAAGAGATTTTATTTTAAAAATAACTTTTATATTATTAATCATAAAAAATAAATAAAATTGTTTGTGGCGCCATATGTTTTAAAAACTCCATAATTTTATTATAAAAAGACGAAATGCTTAGTTTTAAACATAGAAATGACTTTTATAAACAATTGTAGATACTAGCAACAAATAAATTCTTCATTAAGTCTGATTTCACTCGAGATTTTATACGTTACCATCATATTTCTCTTTACCCCTTGATGTTTTATACTAAAGTTTAATAGCATCAATGCATTCAATGTACAATGTACGCTGCCAAATTTCGTTTCTTAATCTTCAATCTTGACACTATTTCAATACTTTCCGTTGTTATGTATACATAACTTCCAGGAGAGTAAAAAAGAGATTTCAACGTTAAATTTATATATGTAAATCATAATGTTTTAAACTTTTCTCGTTTGGTAGTTTGAATTTTTTACATAATTTTTAATGTAGTTTGAAATACATTAGAGAATGGACAGTGAGATTTTATTTCAGTCTTATCGAAGGGTTGGTAAAGTCCACAATGAATGCGGCCACATGTTGAGGAAGGTGGCCTGACATACAGGAGGGCTAAGATTACGAAGCCATAAAACATTTACTTTGAGGCACATAAAAATGGCAATAGTTGTAAACACTAGATTTATTTATTTCTCTAATAATGAAAACGTTGATTAATTAGATAAGCACAGATTACCACAAATTAATAAACAATGAGATTTCTACTTTTAACCAATTGTAAAGTGTAAATTGATTACAACAAAATAGAGTAATTAAATGAGCACAACAGTTTTTCAACGAATTGGAAAATTCAATAGAAAATCTTTCCTTATAGAACTGATCGCTGGTTTTGACTGGCCTAAATTTCTGTATAAAAAATATATCTGTAGCTTAATAAGCTTACATCACCAGCAATATATTTTTTTATCGGACAAGAAGTAAAAGCAAAGAGTCTCGCATGATTTTTTGTTAATTTACTCAAAAAGACTAAATAATTTTTATGAAATTTTGAAGGGATAATTAATTTTAATGGATTTTTCTAATATGAAATCACAAAGTTGCAGATTTGTAATTTATAAATGTGTAGTGACTTTCGTATTACTTTTCCGGCTGTTATGGAAAGTATGGGGAGGTTTTTACATGTTTGGATTTAGGACACCTTCAAACGTCGAAAAATGCAAAATAATCCGTGGGTTTTTTTCTGTATGTATCGATGTCAGTGTATGTATTTGTGTATGTGGGGGAGAATAATTATTTGCAATATGTGTGAAGCTTAATTACTTTTGTGCTTTTAGTCGAAAACTCCTGAAATTTTGCAGAAGGTTTGTTTATTAAAGAAATTGAGGCTGTTAACTTTTGGTGGTTAAAGGTTGGGGTGGGGAGATAATTGATGTTGTGTGTATCTCCTGTAGGGTCGGACTTAATGAGTATTTTTATGTTATTAGAATTTGAAATTTTTTTTTATAAAACTCATCCTTATTCTCGAAATTCAGTTGTTTGCCTTTCTATAATAGTTTAAAATATCATATTATAAGATTCAGCAACTCGTTGCTTGTTTATATATAATAAGTGATTATAAGTGGTTGTCATGAATTGTTTGTATATTGTTTAGACTGTCAACAATGAATTCTTCACTCCGGACGAAAACTCTAACAGAAACGAAGTGAACATCCAAAGTAAGTAACATGTTATTTAGTTCAGACTTTTTATATTAGTATTATTTATAAAGCAGCTGAAGAACTGCATTCAAGATTCAATTGACATACATTTATCTGGCATTAGATATTTGAGAAATATAAGTAACTTTCTACATCGTATTAATATATTTTTGAACATAATAAAAATATGTTGGGATGATAATGAGTTGTGATTTAATGACTCGTGTTATCTTGCTTTGTTAATGGATCAGCTAAATTTATACTATGTGGTTCCTTTTCCATCACACTAATGATATTTTTCTTCTCTATAGAAGCACACGATTTCTGACGCGTTTCTATGATAACTAGTAGAAAAAACTAAATACAGGTATACCTCGCTTTACGTCGTTAATTGGTTCCAGGAGAACGACGTAAGTCGAATTTGCTTGTCTCCGAATCTACTTATCACTAGGCTAAACCTTAAATTACCATTCCCGTTCTGTATTTTATTTATTAATGCATTTTTAATAATATATGGTTAATAAAAATCTATTTTAAGCTTACAAACAAATAAATTTTAGTTTTTAATATAGTACAGAAAAAAGTAATCTAAATTTACGAATGCATGTACTGTACTGTAAATACATGTTGTTGAAAGGGGTTAGAGGGCTGTCCACAAATAGCGGCGGACTTATGCCCTGTTGGAAGAACGAAAGAAGAAGTTAGGATAGGAAGAAAAGATGGAAGAGNTTGGTTCGATTATAGAACGATTGTAAACGTTCCAGAAAATTGATCAAATTAAAAATAGTTCGTTTGACTGGACGTAAAAATTCTCTAATTAGTCTGGAAACGGGGGACCTAATTCTTGCATTTTGTGAAAACGGGTAAGATTGGCTATAATGTAATTATCTTAATCTTCACTATCGTTACTTTTTGCCCACAAATAAAAACCCAGCGAAGCGGGTCCTTCCAGCTAGTTTATTATAAAAGCCGAATTAGTGCGATTTTTGAAACTGCATTTCATTTGCTAATTTTTTACAGTTGGGAGTGTAAGATGATAATATCAATCGTAAACATTCTTCAAGGTTGGCATTAGTAAGTTGAAATATGTTTTTTGATTTTATAATGTTCATGGTGGAAACTAAAGATTCGCACAAATATGTGGAATTAAAACAGGATTTGATTTTAAAGACTTCTTTTTTTTAAAAGATTATACTTTTTATGATCGACTAAATTTAGCAGTTTCAGTACTGCCCTACTTGTGTAGTAAAAGGATTTACAAAAATTATTGCTGATAACTTGTCTAAAGGCATATTTATTTTTGTTGCATTATTTTCACCCCTTGTTAACAATTGCATTGATAGTAACTTTAATAGTTTTTTCCACACTAAAATCACTTAATAAAATTCTTATTATTAATGCTAATTGCGCCGTATCTGATATATCTGTTGACTCCTCTAATTGTAATAAAAAATACTCACATTCTTCCAAATCATTTTTCAACTGACTTGATATCTGTTGAAATCGCCTTGATTCTTCTTGTATTGTCTGATAACGGCAAATCTTGATTTGTTGAAATAATTTCTCGCTTATTACAAAATCCTTCAAATAACGAATCAACTTCGACGTGAAATGCTTCCTTAATTAGTTTACTTTTTAAAAATGGTTTTTCTCGTTACGCCAACAAATCAGAGAATTTTTAAAGGAAGCAATAAAACATCTTTATTTTTATTTACACGGCTCATGAAAAAAAAAGCTTTCTGGGTAGAAACTCAGTATTTTAGTTGATTAAATTTTCTTTTTCTTAAGTCAGATTTAGGCAGAAAACTAACCTTAGAGAAAACTGTGATTGGTTTTGTAATGACGTTCGACGTTATGTTTGTCTGTCATTGAAAGAACACTGTTGCATATTAAGCAAATACATTTCTCGTTACTTTCGATAACAAACTTCTTCCCAATCTTTGTTAAAAGGATAGGTTCGTTGTTTTTTACTTGGATTACTTATTTCAGGGTAAAATGTTTATACACAAAAATCACAACACTACGAACAGTACGAGTTTACAACTACAGCACGTGGTGACAACTAATACAATACTACTAATAGAATAGAGTCGCTATTGGAGAGCTGATTATATTATAATACAACAAATAATGCCTTGATTATTTAAATGATAATCATAGGCAATGTTCCTTCTAATTTTTTTGTAGATGAGTGGAACATATACTTCTCTGAGCAAAAAAAAAAAACTTTTGCTGAGCAGATTCTGAGCAAAAAAATTTTTCTGAGCATATATATATA